AAAATAAAAAAATAAAAAAATCACAAAATACAGGGGGCACATGACCCCCTAGTCCCTCACTCCCTCCGCCTCTGACTGCTACCATCACCGTCGCTATTATCGTTGCCATGTCCCTCCACCTCCACCTTTGTTTCACCACCACCAAATATAAAAAATTCCAAAAAAAAAATTTGAAAAAAAGTTTTCTATCACCCAAACAAATGAGGCATGAAAGAAAAAATAAGCTAACTAATTCCTCTGTTCCTATAATTCCTATTCAAATTGCCCTTTTGGATATAATTATGAAATCAAAAAAAATCAAAAAAAGTGACACTTATCAAAAGTTATTTTGTATTGTAATATGAAATAATTTTTTTCTTTTCTTTTTTAATGTAATTTAATTAAATAAAATATGAAAAAAATATTTCTTTTCTTTTATTTATTAAAATAAAAGGAAAAAAAATCTCAAAATGATTTATATAATCATTTTCTTTCCTTCCTCATCAAAGTTCTCAACATGATGTAAAAAGGGCAAACGTATTGATCTGATCCCTTCGTCTTCTTCAAAGGGTTCAAAGATAGTGCACAGTAAATCTAAGGCCCCATTATTTGATGACCAAATTAAAATTAGAATAAAGGGGTGGGTAGGTGATGAAAGAGTCAAGGGTCATTTCAAAATGCGAAATGTTTGGGACCTTTCCTTTTGGCTTTTGAGGGTGAGTGGAATCCACTTATGTACGTGTGGATTTCACATTATGAGTGGTTGAGAGAGAGAGAGAGAGAGAGGTCTCACATTCGATTTGGCCTTTAAGTCCACGCACATTTTGTAAGGCGTATTCGAGGGTGGGCATTACTGGAGGTGGTGAGAAGTCGAGATATGGAGACATGAGGACGGAGGTAGTTGGTGGTGGTGAGAAGTGGAGTTGGGGGCTGAGCGGCGGTGGTGGTGAGAAGTCGAGATATGGAGACATGAGGACGGAGGTAGTTGGTGGTGGTGAGAAGTGGAGTTGGGGGCTGAGCGGCGGTGGTGGTGAGAAGTCGAGATATGGAGACATGAGGACGGAGGTAGTTGGTGGTGGTGAGAAGTGGAGTTGGGGGCTGAGCGGCGGTGGTGGTGAGAAGTCGAGATATGGAGACATGAGGACGGAGGTAGTTGGTGGTGGTGAGAAGTGGAGTTGGGGGCTGAGCGGCGGTGGTGGTGAGAAGTCGAGATATGGAGACATGAGGACGGAGGTAGTTGGTGGTGGTGAGAAGTGGAGTTGGGGGCTGAGCGGCGGTGGTGGTGAGAAGTCGAGATATGGAGACATGAGGACGGAGGTAGTTGGTGGTGGTGAGAAGTGGAGTTGGGGGCTGAGCGGCGGTGGTGGTGAGAAGTCGAGATATGGAGACATGAGGACGGAGGTAGTTGGTGGTGGTGAGAAGTGGAGTTGGGGGCTGAGCGGCGGTGGTGGTGAGAAGTCGAGATATGGAGACATGAGGACGGAGGTAGTTGGTGGTGGTGAGAAGTGGAGTTGGGGGCTGAGCGGCGGTGGTGGTGAGAAGTCGAGATATGGAGACATGAGGACGGAGGTAGTTGGTGGTGGTGAGAAGTGGAGTTGGGGGCTGAGCGGCGGTGGTGGTGAGAAGTCGAGATATGGAGACATGAGGACGGAGGTAGTTGGTGGTGGTGAGAAGTGGAGTTGGGGGCTGAGCGGCGGTGGTGGTGAGAAGTCGAGATATGGAGACATGAGGACGGAGGCAGTCGGTGGTGGTGAGAAGTGGAGTTGGGGGCTGAGCGGTGGTGGTGGTGAGAAGTCGAGATATGGAGACATGAGGACGGAGGTAGTTGGTGGTGGTGAGAAGTGGAGTTGGGGGCTGAGCGGTGGTGGTGGTGAGAAGTCGAGATATGGAGACATGAGGACGGAGGTAGTTGGTGGTGGTGAGAAGTGGAATTGTGCAGCGATGAGGAAGACGGAGGTGGGAGATTGTGGTGGTGAGTAGATGGGATGGTTCCTCAGTCTCTCCCATACGGAATCTGACCCCCCGCACTCCCGAATTTGCTCCTCTTCTTCCTCCCACATATTATCGATGCAATCCCTAACCCCCAATTCTAACCCCATACCTCTCACTGTCTTTTCTTTCTTTTATTTTTTATTCCCAACCTACACATTTCACGTTGCATATATACGCACATTAGTCAAGGTTGGGGGTTCAATGACTCCTTTCACTTTATTTATTTATTTATATATACTCTTTTCGTTCCAAAATATTTGTTCCTTTCGGAAAATCTAACTTTTTTTAGTAATACACTTATTACATTTGAAAAAAGTTGATTTTCCAAAATTACCCTTTTGATAGTATATTTTTTGGGAATATCAATATCATAATTGTACTTTTTAAATTATTTATTAGTTTAAAAGAAGGGCAAAATAGGAAATTTATATTATTTTTGTACTTGATTTATAAAGAAGGACTAATATTTTGGAACAATAAAAAATGAAATAAAAGACTAATATTTTGGGACGAAGGGAGTAATGTAATATAATACATGTTGGGGTTCAATGATCCTTTTTCCTCACTCGTTAAGAGTCAAGTCCTCGTTAGGATTGCGTGATTTAGAGTTTAAAAATAAAAAAACATTTCTTTTCATTCATCTTATTTCTTTGGATAAATAATGACGAGAGAAATATGGTAAAATAGAAAGAAATAGATAGAAATTTATTTTATTTTTATAATTTTTAATTTAAATATCTCTAAAAGTGGAGAGATTGATACTCTATTTATTTGGGTGAAAATAAAATATTTTTTGGTGTTTGATATAAAAATTAAAATCAATGAAAAATATTTTTCATAATTAATAAATAAATAAATAAACCTACATAGGCAAAAAATATTTTTCATTTTTAAAAGAAAACATTTTTTAGACTAAAATCATACTAATCTCATCACATTATAACTGTCACTCTCATCTCTACAACCATCACCACGACCACCGTCATTATCACCATCACTATCATCATCATTGTCATGTCCCACCACCTCCACCTCCACCTCCACCTCCACCTCCACCTTTGTGCCACCACCATCTATGTTTTCTCCAAAAAAGTTTTCTATTACAAAAATTTCACCCAAACAAATGAAGCATAAAAGAAAAAATAAGCTAACCAATAACTATTTTCTATAATTCTTATTCAAATTGCCCTTTTGGATATTAAAAAAAAAATCAAAAAAAAAGTGGCATTTATCAAAAGTTATTTTTGTATTATAATATGAAATAAATTTTTTTCTTTTCTTTTTTAATGTAATTTAATCAAATAAAATATAAAAAAAATATATTTTTTTTTCTTGTCTTTTATTTATTCAAATAAAAGGAACAGAAATGACAATATCTTTTCTCAAAATGATTTATATAATCATTTTCTTTCTTCCCTTATCAAAGTTCTCACATAATGCAAAAGGACAATGCGTATTGATCTGATCTATTCTCTTCTTCAAAGGGTTCAAAGCTAGTGCACAGTAAATCTAAGGGTAGTTTGATAACCAAATTAAAATTAGAATAAAGGGGTGCCATGTCAAGGCTCATTTCAAAATTAGTTTTGCATTTATTTATCCCATCAATAAATTGTGTTTATTACGTAACATGTCACATCGTACTAATAAAATACATGATGAATGAAACTTATTAAACTAATAATTGATACATAAAAGATCTTGTGTTTTTTTTTTTTTTTTGGTTTGAACTGGCATAAAAGATCTTGTTAACAAGTCCTCTTAGGACACAAGTAAATGATAAAAAATTTAAGAAACACATAATATTTTTCATTAAATTCAATACACTTTTTTTTTTTAAATCAATACATTTTTTAAATATTTTTACATATTTTCAAGACATTTTATACATACTTTTCAACATTAAATAATGTGTAAAGAACACTTATTAGCATTTGCCATAAATAAAATGATAAATATAAACGATACATAAGATAATAATTTCATCCGCTTTGTGCTTTTAAACCGAGAAATTATTGGTTGGTTCTGGGACACCGCCAAGTAGTACATTAACGGTGTTATAATTGGTAGAAGATGTAAAATTCACAATTTTATGTTAAGTGATTAGAGAATATGAATAGATATGGTGGTTTGTGATTGATGAAAAATATTACCACATGACCCCTAGACCAACCAATAATATTTTCTTTGAACCCTCTACAAAACTATCACATAAATGAATTCTTTCAGTCATTTCTTGAAAAGGTCAGACTATTGATAGTTCAAAGGAATTGTTGTTACAAATTAAAACAAAAGTTATTAAAAAAATAAAAATAAAAAATAATAATTTCAATCTCAATTTATAATTTATTTTTATGTACCTTTTATATAGTTTAATGACAACTCGGTCAATCATATTTTCCTTTGGTAAAAGCAGCATAGTCAATGAGAATAATAATAATAATTTTTTGTTTTTTGAACGGGACAATAATTGATCATCCTGAGTTTACCCTAATTTTGGTCTCTCTGTAATGTAGAATTAGGGAGGCTAAAGATGAAAGAGAGAAATGTGAGACTACTTCACATAGTGGTGGACCATATCATTAGAGATGAAATTGGAAGTACAAAAGAGTTTTGCTGCATTTTTCCCTTTTTTATCATTAGAGAAAAAATTGATCATCCTAAGATCACCTTAATTTTGGTCTCTCAATAATGTAGAATTAGGGAGGCTAAAGATGAGGAGAAAGAGAAGAGTGAGACTGTTTCACATTGTGGTGGGCATATCATTAGAGATGAAATTGAGAGTCCAAAAGAGTTTTGCTACATTTCTTATTTTTTTATCACCCCCAATTACACCTCTAATGAGGTGGCAAATAATCTATATAATAAAGTAGGATGGTTTTTGAAAGTGTATCAAAATGTATCAGAGATACATTTCGTTTGAACGGGTGAGATAAATCCTAAATTTATATTAATGGTTCAGATCAATGATAGTTCTCGCTTAAATGTATCAATAATGGTTGCCTACATACCCACGTCTACCCCCCCCACCATCCCTCTTTATCTCTCTCTCACTCTTTGTTCTCAACTTGAACAGAACGAAAAAACCTACCATCTTCATCAACAACTTCTTCTTCTCACCCGTTGCGTCACATCCTCTTCATCGACACCACCTTATTCTCTACCGACGCTCCTCTTCCTCTTCCTTCGCGACGCTCTGTTATTCCCAGTGGTATGTGTGTGTAAATTTAATGTAAAATAAAATAAACAACAAACTAAAATAATTCAGAAAATAATTATATAAATTAAAGTCTGAATTAATTACTTACAGAAAATATAAGTCGAGGCTTGTGTTGAACACAATCTCCTTAAAGGAGATTTCGCCCTCACTCCGGTGCTTCGAGATTTATTGGTGTCTCCTTCCTAGGATGCAACGACTAACACTTGATTTGCAGCACTACAAAATCAAGTCTGATGAACCAAAACTCTATTGTGACTCTCTCTTTTTCTTTCTAAAATTAAATGCAGAACAGAAACAGGAGGACGAAAATAAGAAGAAGGAAGAAAATGCTCTGAAAAAACATTCGATCCAAGAATTGCTGGAAAGTAGGCTATTTATAGGAAACTAAGTGGCTTTTTTGAACAGGTACCAAACAGATAGAAATCTGTTCAGATAGATTCAACAGGTTTGGTTTGAATTTCAACAGGTAGAAAACCTGTTCGGGTGGAACTCAACAGGTATGAACCTATTTGGGTGAGAAAAAAAATTGGACCAATTTAATTAATTTTAAAACCAAAATTTAAAATTAAATAAATAAAATGCAAATGTTTTTTGCCCAAAAAGATAAGTGTTGGGCCGGACAAGTCCAACCCAACCTCAGACCACGCACCCGTACACGTGTGTGGTTTTTGTTTTGGATCCAATGAATTTAGCCCACTTTACCTATAACCTGACCCTTCCACAAACTTGGGCACCCCTTTGGGCCCATTCCAACTATCCCAAGCTAAGGTTTATATACCCATTTAAAACCTTAAGCTTTTCCAATGTAAGACAAACACATTTCACAAATGTGTAGGAAACCTACCTAAATCCATTTCCACAAACCCGAAAATGCTCGTTGAATTCTCGTTCATCCAGAAATTGTTTTGAGCAACCAAATATATGATATTATTCACTACGCAGCATTAAATATGAACCCAATGAAAAATGTTAAAAATAATGCTTGGATCCCACCTTAATTAATGCTCAAAGTTAGCAAAAAATAAGGATTTTCCAAAGCCATTTTCCAATAATCTCTTACATGAATGGAATTCACGATAACGGACATGCATCAAGATGCAAACAAAGAAAGGGTACATTGAGAAGATACACCACAGCGAGATAGGTAACTTTTGGCTTTGAACCTCCTCTAGTGAAAGCCTATCGGACTTACTAGCTAACCAGTGGACGCGATGCCTTGAACTGTTCAGCTGTTTGTGTAAGCCAAGACAATAGACTACACATAGTGTATCCGCAGACACAGTTTGGTTCTTACGGTTGTGTCCATTTTGGCCCTGAACAACGCTTGGTAATTTATGAGTGCTTTAGAGAATTTAGTCTTCTCAATTCTCACAGAACCAGCTCAGTTCACACTCATATAAGTGACTTCTTATTAAGAGTATCATGGCATACCTCACTTAGATGTCCAAGCTATAAGAATCATTAAAAGCAAAGCTTATCCTACTAATACGGCAAGTATCACTCTTCTTATCATAGAAATGGGTAGGAGTAAATCTCATTCGTAATACGTGAAGTCATCAATAATTCGGTTGTCCCTTTGAACCTAGATCTTAGGATCTCTAGTCAACTAGATTGGGTTGCCATTATGGCAATTTTTAAGTAATAGACTTTAATTCTATTCCCCTCGATAAATGGTACACTTGCTCTCTGGCTAGCCCTTTAGTCAATAGATCTGCAATATTTTCTCTTGCCTTTACATATTCTATGGAAATTATTCCACGTGAGAGAAAATGCCTAGCGGTATTATATCTTCAACGAATGTGTCGAGACTTCCGTTATACATATGATTATGTGCCTATCCTATTGCTGCTTCACTATCACAATGAAAGCATATAGCTGGCATAGGTTTAGGCCACATTGGAATGTCTTCTAAGAAATTATGAAGTC